GTCGGTGTCCGTACTGTTCAAAAACAGTAAAATAGAAAAGGGAGAACTAGGGCCCAGTGATGGTTCCAGTTTGAAAATGCGCTTCAGTCCCGATTTCATGAATGTTGTGCCACAGCAAGGAAAACCGTGAATGTATACAACCTAGCTTTAGGGTCCGGTGGGGATGTATTGTATTTAATCGTGGCTGCACCCTAGCTACAACCCCCCCAAAAAAAAAACATGGGGATGACAGTGGACAATCAAAGAATAATAAATAAAAGCGTTCTCAGCAAACTCGGTGCAGCGTCTACCTTACAAAGGGGGAACCACACTTCAGGTCTAATCATGGAGTGTCGGCTTATGCATTCTTTCCCCCCCTAAACCCTAAACCCTAGGAGCATCGGCTTATGCATTCTTCGTACAGCACTGTGTACTTGGAGAGTCGGCTTATGCATTATCAGTTGGTTGGTACCAAGCATGCGGGCAGTGGGGATTGAACCCATGACATCCTGCCTAACAAAATGATCTGCTGCAGTCGAAAGCTCGATTTCTGCGGTTCTCGCAGCAAAGGGTGGCTTCCTATTCAACAGAAAAGACAAAAAGAGGGCGTGCACAGGAAAAACAGAACAAAAAAAAAAAGAAGAAGAAACACAGAGTGGATAAGGGTAGTGGCAGAAAATATATTGACATAGGGCATCGCTCCACTAACTCTTCTCTTGTTTTTTTTACTCTTCCAATGTGCAAAATGAGAATGAATCTTCCTCTAGAACATGGAACTATACACCGGCATGTTTTTTTGTCTTTTGTGCATGTGGAGAGTAGTGGAGCGAGGCGTATGAGCCATGCACGCACCAAACCCCCATATCAGAATCAGGCAATACCATGAATATTCACCAACCCTACCCATGTCAGAGTCGGTAGAAAACAAATAAAACAGAAAAGAATCTGGATAAAAAGTCAATCCCACATAATTGCGTAGTCATCTCTAGTCAGGATGTATCTGGCCATCTGAAAGGCTACATACGTGCCACTGCTCTACTACGTGTCCAGAGGGCCAGAGGCCTCATAACACCCCCTCCTCATCCCCCAAGCCAATCCCACATAATTGCATAGTCATCTCTAGTCGGGACGTATCTGGCCATCCGAAAGGCTACATATGCGCTACTACTCTACCAAGTGTACAGAGGCCTCATACCACCCCCCCACCCTCCTCATCCCCCCCCCCCCAAAGAATTGTAGCCACATTAATTTATTTACCTTCAATTGTACAGAGGCCTCATACCCCCCCCCCACCCTACGCTATATTCTTCTCTCAAATCTATCATCATCTTTCAAATTCTTTCAATTCACCTTCACTACCTACCTTCCACTTCTCCTAAGGCTTAGACAGGAGACCCCTGCAAACATTGCTTTTTTTTTTTTTTTTTTTTTTCAACACGTGGGCCCAGTGCCTAAAGCTCAAATTACAAATTGAAATACAACGCAAACACACGCCTCTTCCCATTAGGGCTGGAAGAGCCTCGGCCAGTGCTCCCGCACAGACAGCTTCCCTAGTCAACGAGAATAGAGCATGGGCACTGAGCATTGATTGCTTCCCCTGAAGGGAAGGATTAACCAGTCCCATTGACAATCAAATTCTTCCCTACTATAGCAAACCGCCAATGATCAAACCCTACAAATCAAAAACAGGGGGGGGGGGATTATAGCAGGGCAAAAGTAAGTCGAGCACATCCTGGGTCTCAGTCAAAACCCTAAGTGGATATGCCCAACAGTTAACACGATCCTTGAGATGAAATGAACTTAAAGCAAATCAAGAAAGGAAGAATTCAGTGTACAAGTTGTGTGAGAGTCACAGTTCCCACAAGGGGTAGGTTCCCCGGTCCACAGTAACATGGGGAAATCACTCGTTCAAAACACCACCCAGACTCGATGAATGAAGAGACAAAACGCCACCCACGGGATCAACGATTCCATCTCCTGACCTAACCCCATCAGTAACCACACAGGGGACCACGTGACCCACTCATTTCCAACCGATGACACAACCGCAGTGGAGAATATCATCGTTACTGTTGTCGATGAAGTCGATAATAGATCAGTTTTGTGAGATGTCGTCGTGATACCCACTGGATTGTCCGACGGAGCAGCAAACACTCCCGTTGTTATTGTGAACGAACTTGATACTAGATGGATTTCAAGAGATGTCTTCGTAATGCCCAGCAGATCCATCGTTGGGGTAGGTAGCCCTCCTAGTGTGTTTGATATCCTCATTACTGTGGACAACGGCGCATCCACCCCAATTAAGGATGTTGAAACTTGAGTCGTAGTTGAAAGATCTGATGCCGACCCCGTTTCGGAAGAAGTCACCATGATGCCCACCGGGTCCGGCATTAGAGTAGAAACTCCTCCCCATGCGTTCGATATCTCCATGATGCACACTGGGGCACCTGTTGCATATTGGCAATTCTGCAGATGTCGTCGTCATGAGAATTGTTGTCGAACTTGTTGTTGATGCTACCATTGTTGATGTTGTTCTTGATGCTGTTATTGATGATGTTGTTAATGTTGTTGATGATGCTGTCGTTGATTCTGTTGTTGATACCGTCGACGATAGAGAATTGAGTGGCGATGGCGATGGCGACTTCGGGCGATCTTCGAGCAGGAGCGGCTGAGTGGCTTACAACTGTTCAAGAGACTAGCGTGCGGTCCAGCCTGGCGCTCGCAATGCTACGGTCGGCTGTTGCTGCAGGGGCAGTCCCGTCGATCTCGTGGCTCCGGAGCGTGATGCAGGTTCTATTGGAGGTATCTTGGGGGTTGGAGGAGGGGCCACCCTCTCACCTGCGCGTGTTTCTGGACTGGCCACGATTGAACAGTTTGATGCGGTGCCATTATGAGGAGCTTGAGGAGGGACAAGCTCTAAATGCCGTGCTGGAGGCTCGATATTACGACGACGACGACGCTATCGACAACGACGCTGACAACGAAGAAGGAATGACTGGCGGCTGTGCCAACAATAATCTCAGTGTGGTTAGCAATTACATCACCGCCGATTGCAATAACAACGCCAACAACAACAACAACAACAACAACAACAACAACAACAACAACAACAACAACAACAACAATAACAACGACAACAATAATGATAACAACAACAACAACGACAACGATAGGCCTGTTGAAACGACGCTCACATATGCACGGGCCATCGCTACGGATAACAATGATTGCACTGGCAACGACAAGACTGTGCATGATGGTGGCGCGGTAGGGAGAACAATTGACTACATCAGCAACAATAAATATGTTGACGTTGCCGATGACAATAACAACATCAACGGGAACGACAACGACGATATCTACGGTGTGGCAAGTGCGATTGGGGTTTCTCTTCCCCCCTTCCGCCCCCTCCTTCCTTTTTTGATTCCCTTCTGTTCATCGGATCTTGATTGGGGGGATGGGCGTGTGGGATTGTTGAATGGAGTGATTGGTAAACAGGATGGTTGTGGGGGGGCACGAGGAAAGAGATGGTCGCGTGAAGGGGTAGGTTAGTGAATGTTACACAGTGATATAGGATGTGGTCACATGGTATTGCCACGTGACGACGGAATAACCATCCCTCGGTTTTGAGCTGGCTCACCTATTCGTCTCGTGTAAGTGTCAATTTGAATTCGTATGCAGAATTGGTGATCCCAACATATTCAACGTCAGGTAATAATTTTAGTTTCCACAACTCTACAAACTCGCCACGTGGCGGCGCGAGAGGAATAGTAGTGCTATGCAATTCGGGCTGCCAATGTGGTTCGCTGTTCATTTTGTGATGAGGGATTCGCCATAATTGACTTTCTAATCCCCTGCTTGGATTACCTCTTCCCCTCATGGCGCTGTATCACCTTTTTAGAAGATGTGATGAGGGTTTTTGAGTAGGGATAAGCTTCTAGATTGCGATGGGCAGCTGATCCCCTCGGTTGGAGGGTAATTAACGCTGCTTATTGCGTTGAATGGTGCATGCTCACGTGTTGGCTTATTAATTGTTGACTGCTTGGCTGGACACGTGGCATGTTATGTGAAAAGGAAAACCGGATTGGTACGGGGTTTTCTAATGATTGACTTTTGTTGCCCTGCTTTGATTACCCCTTCCTCTCACGGTGCTGAATGATTTTCCAGAATAAGGTGAGGGTTTTTGGGTAGGGTGATATTCTTCGATTGTATTGAGCCGTTAATCCCCTTGGTTGAGGGCAATCAATGCTGCTCAATAAGTTTAACGGCGCGTGCCATCGTACTGGCTCGTTACTTGTCAAAGATTGGAGCACGATGTGCACGTGGCATATAATATGACAATCCATTGTTTACAGGGACGCTGGACCCGTTTTCCAGCAGGTGATGCTCCCCACCAATAGATGGAGCCTCCCCGAGCTTGCTAGAGGTGTCTGCTCATATCAGCGTCTCTAGCAATTACTTGGGTTGTTTCATAAATAAATAAATAAAAAAGATACTGCTGGTGATAGTGGCGAAGTTGCAAATCCGGCTGCCTGGGGGCGCTTAATTACCTCCACACCCCACACACGTGCTTCGGCCTGAAGCTGAAGGAAATCGCTCCATAAATCGTTTGCTCGGTGCCAGTCAATATAGGCATCTATCTCCATGGCAGGCCCCTCTTCGAAAGGCTCGCTCATTTCCAACATGCGCTGCACTATGGCCTCCACACATCCGGTTACAGAGGTTGCTCCCCCTTCAACCTCAAGACCAGACAGGGGGTGGGATGAGAGTTGGACCACCATAGCCCGAAGTTCCTCCCGACAATCGTTCAACCTAGAGAGCCAGCAGTCCGCCTCAAGTCGCCACCCCTCCGCAGAAGCCATCGTGTGTTGAAAATCTTATCTCCTATCTCCTTGGTATCGTCCTCAGGATCACCTTGTGTTATTCGCAGCGCTCCACTCACAAGGACACCGTTCGCTCGTTGACTACAGGGTATTCCTACCCTGCCCTTGTCGCCGCGCCTCCACCATACCCGTTGGGTCAACCTACCTTCCACGCTGCGATGGCGTCAACGTCTCCTGTCGTCCTCGTCAACTTTGAGGTCTTGGGTAGCAAGATGCCAGACCCGCTGGCCGGTTTGTTCCCCATGCGCTCGCGACCGTAGCGCTGCTTCTTGGACCCTGGCTACTTTCAGGAGTGTCAGGAGGCTGGGCCCACCGTTGATAAAATCGATCGGCGGCATCGGTGCGCTACAGGCCTCTCGACTTTGTGGAGCCTTTTCGGTCATAGGTGGCAAGTGTTATTCCTTTTTTCTTTTTTCTTTCTTCTTTTCTCTTTTTAAACCAGTAGTACCTCCGCCAGTGTTGGGAAATTACGATGTACTGGTCTGTCCCCGAACAAATTGGGGATCCCATTAGGATCAGCAACAATTCCCAACATGGGAAAAAAAATGATTTTTTTAGGCTTTCGTAATTTGTTTTTGTTTTTCGTGGCATTTTTTGGAGAGCATTGGACCCGTGCTCGTTCCGTGACTGTGGCCGCGAAGTGGAAACGCTACCGGGTCCTTTCCGGGAGCCTCGCGGTGTCGCAGGTCGGTCGATCCCCGGTTGGAACGCCCGAGAATCTGTGCGACCGTTTTCGTGGGCGACCTCCGCCGACTTGTGTGGTCCCCGTCTAGGCCTCTCGTCCGGCCGCCATCGCACCTCTCCGCCTCTCTCTCTCTCTCTCTCTCTCTCTCTCTCTCTCTCTCTCTCTCTCTCTCTCTCTCTCTCTCTCTCTCTCTTTCTCTCATTGTCGGCCGCTCATTCTCTCCCCTCCGCCACTTCAATACGAGGGATGCTTGATTGATTGATTGCTTCTTTTATTGATTGATTGGTTGATTGATATTTGTGGCAGCCGATCTTTGATACTTGATTTATTGATTGATTGATTGATTGATTGATTGATTGATTGATTGATTGATTGATATTTGTAGCAACTGATCTTTGATTGATTTATCGTTTGATTGTTCGCCACCATTGATTTTCACGGACTCATCAGGAGGTTGAACCCCGACAGTCTGCCGAGAATGCATTTGACTGATGGATAAGGACTCACCACGTCGCCCACATTTAGCGATACTCTTGAGAAAAGTGGTCGACTTTACTCACACCAACCTTGCAATCCTGGCGGACTTCCGGTCCAAACCCTTGACAGTAACCAATCAGTAAGTCCAAGAAACTAATCTCACACAGTCATAAAACCGACATGGACCCACTCAGCCATGGCCACCCAATGGCATGTGTGTGTGTGTGCGCGTGTGTGTGTGTGTGTGTGTGTGGGTGTGGGTGTGGGTGTGGGGGTGTGTGTGTGTGTGTGTGTGTGTGTGTCCCCGAACTAGGGATGGTGGGAGCGGCACACGGCGGGATAACGGGAAAGCGAGGTAGTGGGCTAGCAGGATATCCCTCTATCCCATCATCCTGCTATCGGTAGGTTCCTCGCTTTCCCGCTATCCCG